GGTCTTATCAACACCCTCAGCGGGATTCGAACCGCTCTTATACGATTCTTTTTCTACATGACGAAGCACTCCATCCTATAATGCATCTGCCAGCAAGTGAAGTTTCAGGAAATCTTCAAATTGAACATTATCGGGCAATGAATGTTTGAGCCAGGTTTTTGTTCTGATCAAATAATGCAATCATAAAATGCTTACTTTGATCCTTTCATTAAGTTCACAAAGTTGAGTGTCAAAAGTAAGTGGGATTTCGGCCGGCCATTCTGCTTGGTTAAATGTTACTTTTGCGTGTTCGTGAATGATGCTTTCTGGCTCGGACGATCCACGCGACTGGACGGACGAGAGCTCAGCACCGATTGCTCGGCCTGCTTCGGAATCCGGGCCAGCCTCAATCTGAAAAGAGACTCTTCTGAACTCAACTTCTCTTTGAGTATGCCGGTTTTATTCGGAATTTTCTCGCCAAGCATCATTCTAAGGCTCGGGTTGTGCTTTTAAAGTATATGCTTTTTTGGAGAATGAGGCCTGCCGCAGGAAATCATCCGACCGAAGCGTTGAGGAGACTGAAACATTTATTCCTATAAACTAATTATCCTTCAGGCTTAATTGATAAAAATATCTCTTTTTTTTGAGATAGGCGATCTCAGACCATTTATCACATTCTTATCTTGCTTTTACTGCCTTCGTGCGAAGAAGATGATTGAAATAGACATCAGAACCGTATTTAAAGAGACCCTCTCACTTTCCTCGATCACGCTATCCTTTAGACAGTTCTGTGGATACTTTTCGAGATTGTGTGCTCGTCTCGTTGTGCTTGTGTTGGTCAGCTTTGATGGCCAGAAGTGGCCGGACACGAAATGGAATGCTCGTAGACACAGACTGTCGCACAAAATGATGAAGAAGTGATTGTTGAATTTGCACATCTTTGCTCTCCAAAAGGATGAAAGGAGGTGTTGTTCGTCCAGAGACTGAGGATTGAGGTCCCGACTGGCCAACTTTATATCTTCGTTTTAGACGCATGGAAGTGACAAACATCAATTGGCTTCAGGAGGGAAATGTGCATTGCAGCAAGCTTTCCACGAATGCCACGAGCGTCACGAACTGCTGTGCTCAACTGGACGGACTTTAGCCTCAAGACAAATCATGCCGGAGAGCATCGAATGCAAAAAGAATCGCCAATTACAATGAAATAAACCAACAAACGGGGTTCGAAACTGTATCATGCGCTAACAGAAGTGACCCCCCAGAGTATACCAAATTACTGAAAAACCTCAAATTTTGTATCGAATTATCAGTGGGGCATTATTTATTCTTTATACAAAATCGGCAATTCTTTAATTGAAACAAAATAAGGCTATGCTGAGAGAATTTAAGTTTTGAGGAATCTTTGGTTTCATAATTGTTCGGCTTACTTACATTTCGAGTGAAAGTGTTTGAGGAAGAGATTCGAAGGTCATTTCCACCAGAAGACTGGAACAATCATGCTGACGCTGTTTCTGAAGTAACCACCTTCGATTCCGGTGAAAAGGTGCTAAGCTTTCGTGCGTCATGTGATGAACATCATCAGGGCGAGGTACCATCGTCACAACCTAATTCGAGCTAACAAGTCAAGAAAACTGACTGGCTCATTCATAGAAATCACCAAATCACTTTATACCTCATCAAAGAGGTCAGATGTAGAGTATGTATACCACTTTTTAGGGATTTTCCGGTGAGCTTTCTTGAATATTTTGCTTGAATTTGGT